TAAAAAAAAATAATATTAGTGGTCTGTGGGATATAAAATTATGAATTTAATGGTCCCTGAGGTCTGAAAAGTTGGTGACCCCTGTACTAGAAGGCCCCAAAGAGATAAAGAAGACTCTTTCTCTTTGTTGCTATCTACGGGTCATCTGCATTTTTGCAGCCCAGCTCTGGTAATGTTTCAGTAACACATTCTCTAATCAGTGATTAGTACTTTGTGCAACCTCAGATGTCAATTTCTCAGCCATATTTTGAATTCCTGTGTCTTACAGAGATGTTGGAGTTCTTTTCCCATAATCTCCCCATTAGTACAGCCATGTTGACAAGAAATTCTGAGTTGAAAAGCAGTAATCCGGGAGACACTAGGCTGAAGAAGTCTGGATAAATTGTAGCTACAAAAACTTTTGAAAACATGTTAGTGGAGGAACTACAATGCTGCTTTTGTTACATTTCCTTTGCACAAGTCAATGTGGGGCCCTTCAGTTACATTCTAGAGCATAGGTGTCAAACTCACAGTGTCACATTGTGATGTTTCATGGCATTTTTTCCCCTTTGCGGAGCTGGGGTGGGCATGGCCTGCGTGTGACGCAACTGGCCACCAGTTTGACCTCTGTTCTAAAGGTACTGAAACATAGAAGTCAATGTATAAATGTTGAACCCTTGGCTTGGAATTATGTTCTTACCACCAATGCTATAGCAGCCAGAAATCCCTTTTATGCAGTGTGGAAGTTAAACAAATGGAAATTAAATAATACCCGCAAATGAATTCTCTACTGGGGAGGCAACCTTGACTGAATAAGAGTCTTAATCTTCCTATTTTCCTTGGCCTCATGGTGCTCATTCTTCTAGGCCCTGTTTAAATCTGAATTCTCATCACCACAGAGACTGAGGATCCCAGGTTATTCTTTAATTCATGACTTGCTGATTTGTAATTCATGACTTCATTATTTTGATATTTAAGCCACAAGGATTTCAGAGAAATGGCCCATTTTGCACGGCTGCTCATTAAGTGCCCCAAATTGCAAAACAATCAAAGGTCTGCTTGTCAATCACAAATGGTGACCCCCATCCTCAAATCCCATAGAGACTTCAGTTGTAATGGTATGCCTAGCATTAGTAGACAAGATAAATTGGTCTCCTGCTAAGATGCCTATCACATATTCCAAAGTGGGGCAAATAGTTTTGCCCTATATGGCTCTCTGGGGCAGAAGTGTTTTGATCCACCCCATCTTATTTTCACAATATGCCTGACCCACTTGATTAATAAAGGTTTTCAACATTGGCACTTTTTTCACCACCTATATTTTGCTCTTTGATTTTAATGCCTTCCCTCCTTTCCTTCTTTTGTTTCTATCTCCCTCCCGCCTTTTTTTTTTTAACCAACGCTCAACAAATACCACTATGTCACAATACAAAGTGGTGACATGTGTTTCTCTGATGGCAGAATATTCTGTGCCAACCTCTGGCACTACAGGATAACTGCTGTATCGCTCTCGCTCTCTCATCTATCATCTGTCGATATCTATATCTATCATCTCTCTCTCTCATCTATCTGTCTATCATATATACTGTGTGTGTTTGCGCGTGTG